TCTCTCTCTCTCTCTGGCTCCTCCCGCGCCTGTGCTGCCGATGCGAGTGCGAATCACACTCACTGTCACCCATTCACTCACACAAATCACTCAGTTCAATTTCACTCGTACGCCTCTCCCCCTCGACCTCGTCTTCCCGCTCGAAGCTCGTCCATGCTTGCTTCCTACCTTCTCTCTAGCCCTCCTCGCCCTCGCCCTCGCCCTCGCTCTTCCACCATCTCCATCGTCGGCTTCCTCTGATCGCTCCGTTTCGCGTTTCAACCTCTCCCCCTCTTCGCCTTCCCACCCGTCAGCGCAGCTTGCTCGGCTGCTGCTTTCATCCCTCCATCCCATACACCCACGCCCGCTCGCCCACTGCACCTCACTTGCGGTTGCCTGCGCCTTCATCCGTATCGGATCTCCACCACATCCAACCTTGGTCTCGCGTCGTGCGCTTCAGCATCGCATGCCTCTCCTGCCTCTTCGGAAACCCAGCATCGCTTCCCGCTTCCACTTGCTCATCAAGCCTCTTCTCTGTCGCCTGCATTTCGTCTTGCACCTTCCGTCCTCCTGCATGCCACCTCGCACTTGCGTCTGATCGCCGTCTCCTCTCCAACCCGTCACGCTCTCCGGCAAGTTGCATGTCAGCATCGCACTTCACCCTTGGCATTCAGCTGCACACTGCTACACTGAATCTGCCTCGCACCACCAACCAAACCTCAGAAGAGCCTCCCCGACCGCTCGAGGCCATCCTCTAGGACCAACAGGACCAACAGCCCCGGGCGAAGCTGTGCTAGCAGATTCATCCGATCTGCCTCAAACTCCATCAGTCGCGTGGCATCACATCGTCGCCTGCCTGCTTACGTCCTGGCGCCCTTGCGCCACGAGAACCTCCCACCCGCCTGCTCGCGCTTGAAACGACGCGCCCGCTTCCGGATTGCGATCCGCACCCTCCCCTCTCTTCCTCTCGCTTCCCATGTTCGGCAGTCAGTTCCAAACTCAGCCTTTCGGCCAGTCAACGCCAGGCTACTATCCCCACATGACCGCCCAACAGCACCACCACCAGCAGTCCCAGCAAAATCAATTTGCCTGGATGCAGTACCAGCAGATGTTGCAGGCGCAACAATTCTACTCGCAGCAGCAGCAGCAGCAGCAGCA